ACCAAAAGAAATGGACACTGGGGAACTGGGTTCAATTATGGAAAAAATGGTACATTTTTGTACCTCAAAGTCTGTGACTTTGAAATTTATAAGCATTACATGGAATAGGTAGTGTTATGAAATTTACCAAGGATGTTCCCAGGAAGCCCTTGTGTAGGGAATTGAGTAAAGGGAAAAGAAAGTTGCATTTTCAATGCTTCAGGAACTTAAAATTTTGTCAGAATTAACTTTCTGCCAGAGCACAGCGGGTGAGAACTCTGTGAATATTGACACATAACAGCACCCCTAAGATGAGGGCTGGAAGCCCAAGGCCCTGACGGGGAAATCCTTAGTATTGCTTCCGTGGTTCCATTTCCTGACACTTTTAAAAGGTTGTTGAATCTCTGAATGAATTCATGAAAGAATGGCAGCAGCCATCCATTGCTTCCAGAGAAGAGAGCAGGATACTTGGGTGTAGAGCTAGGAGGGAGTTTTATTTTTCATCGCCTATCTTTTGAAATTTCACAGTGTCTCCTGTTATTTATTCAAAAATGATTAATTTCAAGACCATTGAATGCATGATATCAAGCTATTGGCAGGGGTGGGGTCCCCCATCTCCCCCTAAAATTTTTTTTGTAACTTTCCCTTTTCTTCTAAACATATACATTTTACACAATTATCAAATATCTAAAAATGAAACTGTTGTCATTGTAGAAAACAGCTACACTTATAGAGACTTCTCATGATTTTGTTTGAGCCAAACTGATGACAATCGCTGGGAAGCAGAACCTCAGCGGAGTGAGGAAAGCCTCCCCCAACGATGGCAGTTTTGCAGCTTATTTTATACATTAGAATCAGAGGAGGCGGTGCAAAGGGGGTTACACAGCATTCATTGGTGGTAGATGAAGGGGACGGGAGAAAGCCAAGCAGGGAAATCTCTGAGATCGGGCAAAAGGTAAAATGGGAGGATTCACTTCTTTTACGTCGGTGGGTACGGACGGTCACCATCCAAGGCACATGGGGATGGTATGTGGACAGCAAAGCAATGACAGGGTGGCACACTCTGGTGCTGTGGGTGTGTGACTGAGCCTTTGATGCGTCAGGAAAAGAAAATCACTCTGACTTTCCAAAGGTATGTTATCCTAGTTGCACGAAGACAACAGGTAGGCTCACTTAAAGGTAAAGATTAACCTTTACCTTTAGGAATTTTAGTGTGCAGACCACCCCATGTGGTGACTTTCACTCTCTGCGTGGGTAAGGCCCATCATCCAGGCCTGCCCTGATGTCCTCAGGATTAGTATCTGACCCCTTTTTCGTCCACGCCATTTACAAAGTCCGAAGAATGCAGTCACCATTTTGTCTCAATTTCTACACCCTTTTTCATTTTCTGTCTGCTTAGACTCAGTGGAACCCAAGAAGAGAGGTGTTAAGAAGGGAGAACAAGTAGAGCCAATGAGGAAAGAGAGGACAAGACCCTTGGGTCTGTGAAGGGTGAGGAGGGAAAGTTGCACGGGACAGCCGCTGGACCCAGTCATCAGGAAGAACTGCGGTTTCTTTCACCAGCCGCAGCTCGACTCACATCCTTGGTCCCTGCTTCTGCTTGCTCAGCTCCTGGCTTCCTCGAGGGAAAATGTGTATGTCATGGGAGCATTACCGAAGATTCTGAGTTGGAGCAAGACAGGGAGAAGACAGAAAGTTTGCATAAACCAGAACATGAGGAAACAGACTCCCTCCTCTCTGGAAAGGGAAGTGGCGAGGCAGACCCTGCAAGAGAATAGAAAGACACAGACCTGACTTCCAGAAGCTGCTCTGCAAACAGTAGCTTCTGTCCCCTGACCTGCTTGGGCTCTAGCTGCCTCACAGAAACCCAGAGAATCCTCCACTGAAAAGTCAAGTAAGGCGGTCCCGGCTCCCTGGCCTCAGGGTGAAAAAGGACTTTTTACGAAAAGAGGAGAAAGGAAAAAACAAAGCCTTCCTATTGTGCAACAGGTGAAGTTCCACTTGCCCACCACGGGACTCCTGGGTGAACTGTTTCCTCACCCAGGGTATTTGGGCCTCCGGCAGCCTTCCCTGACTTCCCTCTGTGGAATGGAGTTCCCCTCTCCCCGTTTTTTCCGCACCTTCCTGCTCAGGGGCAGGGGGCGTGGAAAAGATTCCACTGTGAGGGAGGATCTGGCCCTAATCTTGTCCTCTGTCTGGCAATAAAACCACAGACAGATCACAGCTGTGCTCTAGACTTCATTTGACAAATGAAAGGGTAGAATCTTCCAGAGAGTAATCCAAGGTCCCCCCACCCTCAGAGTCTCAAGAAGAGTCAAGCTTCCTCTTGACAGGGCTGTTGGGTTTTGTACCCTTGGTGAAGCCTCAGCCCTCCTTCTCAGCTGCTGACGCAGACCCTCCTCTTGAGATGTATCACCTCATCATAGTCCATGACCTTGGAATGCGTCCACTTCACCCTGGGTTTCTCCTGCAAGGAAGGTTGTCTCACCTTCTAGAATGTTCCATTACCTTTCACACTGAGCTTGAGGGGGCCCCTGTCAGTGACTCTTCAGTTGGTGATTGTTTTAGCTTTCTATTACTGTTGTAACAAATTGCCATAAACTAGATGTCCTAAAATAGCACACATTTATTCTCTTAAAGTTCTGGAGGTCAGGACTTTTGGTCAAGATGGTAGCATATGCAAATGCAGTGCTCACCTCCTCCCACAACCACATCAGAATTATAGCTTAACTACAGAATAACCATTGTTCAGAACCACCTGAAATCTGGCTAAATGGAACTCCTACAGCTAAGGATTTAAAGAAGCTGCATCAAGATTGGTAGGAGGAGTGAAGACACAGAACAGGCTGGTCCCACACCCATGTGTGGTCGATAAAAATTGGGAGGGATATCTCAGCTGCGGAGGTCCCTCCTGAGGAGCAAGGGGTCCCAGTCCCACACCATGCATCCCTACCCCCACCCCAGCCCAGGGTTCCGGTGCCAGGAAGAGAAGTCCCCATAACTTCTGGCTATAAAACCCAGTGAGGATTGTGGCTGAGTGAGACAGAGAACTTCTGCAGTCCCAGGCATTCCTCCTTTAGGACCTTTAGGTCCTGCACATGAACTTACTCAGACTCACTCCCTCTGAGCTCCAGAGCTGGGGCTGCAGCTCAAAAGCACCAGGAACATACTGGGAGGAACTGAATTGTCTGGCATTGGGGTGAGAGCTCCAGGGGCAGCTTTCTCCCAGACAGAAGTGCTGGCAGAGGCCTTTGTTCCTTTGTTGAGCCCTCCCCACACAGAGCTGGCAGGCAGGTGCCACATCTGAGTCTCTATCCACCTGGCTCACACTATTCACCTGGCACTGGTGATTCCCTGAGGCCCAGCCCCACTCAACTTGTGGGCCCACCCAAGCTGTTTCCAGTGGATTTTCCATATAAATGGCCTGTGCTGGCTCCTGCTTCAGATTTTCCTAAAATGTCTCAAACAAGCAGCCCCTGGCCACAGTGTGCCCCATACCTCTCGCTAAGTGGCCTTCAGCAAGTCACCTTTCAGTCCTTGGCAGTCAGTTTTCACAATATGAGAGGGCTGGATGAGATGGTCTGAGAGGTTCCTCCCAGCTTTAATAGACTACAATTCTGTGTTCTGTAGACCGAGGCTGGACGGTGCATGTAATTCTACCTCAGAGTCCTGTTCTGACTCATGTAACAGGAAGTTCTGATGGGAAGATTATTAAGGAGACATGGCTGGAGGTTCCTCCCACGACACTCCAGGACCAAGTCTGGCGTCCATTCTTCTGCCCTCGTGAGAACACTCCACCTTTGCTTTGGGCTTTAGAGAGCTGGTCCACTAACTACTCTGATCCACTTGATGACACTGGGAAAATAGACACTGTGCCCATTGTAAGTGAAAAAGCTAAGGAAGGCTCAGAGAGGGAAAGAGGGGATCTTCCAGATGTCAGACCCCGTGATGGGTGCTTTACCCATTGCTTCATAACAGCCCTTCGAAGTGGATAATGTTGCTCCCACTACAGGTGTGGACGTTGAGGCCCAGCAAGGCCAGGTGACTTTCCTAATGATACGCTGTTAATGTGATGGAGGCCCACTTCTCTGACTCTGTACCGCCTCGTTTTGTTACAGTACAAAAGGGGGGGGCCAAGGGCAACTGAGGCAATATACTATTACCCAAAAGGAACACCCCAGGTTCGTTACGTCCACCACCAGGGGAAAGACTTCTCTCAATGCCACAGATCAGTGAAAAGGAAAGGAATTTATTATTCATTTGAAATAACATGAACTAAAGTTACCCACAAATGCACACAGTCCTCCCAGCACCCTCCACGTGGCAAAAGGGAGCACTTCCAAAGCCTCGGGGTCCTGACTCTCACCCAAGCTTCATGGTCCCAACCAAGACACCAAAGCCGCGTGGTCCTAAACAGACACGTGGTCCCAAAAAGAGAGATGCCCAGTGGCTGCTGTGCCTCGTTTAAATCCCAGCGCTAATCTTCCTTTGCAGCCCCATTTCCAGCTCCTCTCACAATTGGCCACAGCTGCCAGCATTCTGGGCAGGTGTGGCCTTGTGGTGTGGTGATCTCCAAGCTCTTCTGGACCCTCTTACAAATCCCTATTTGGGGCTCCCCTCTTGGCTGCACCCTGTTACAGTTTCCCCTCCGCATTGTGCGGCTGCTGCTATTTACAACTTCTCGACAAGGTATTGAAATGATAACTGTAGCCTCACAGCTGTCCTTCTGCATCATCCTTTCATGGTGCTCTCCAAAGAGACCTACCAGCTGAGCAAGTCCAAGCACCTCTGTGCCTCAGTTTCCTCGTCTGTAAAATTGGAGGTAAGAGTCCCTACATCTAAGGGTGTTAAAATCTTTGTTGAAAGTATTAAATGAGATCTTGTCTTTAGAGCACTTAGTCCCTGTGAAGCCCTCAGTAACTGCTCATTCGTACTGTGTTTGGAAATGGCAGTGGGTCCCTATTCATAATACCAGTCAATCCCCTTTATACCAAATCAAATGAAAACACAAAGAAACTGTATTACTTTTTCTAGTTTTATTATGAAAACACACAGAATCATCTGCATTATCTGATACCCACAATAGCAGAGAAACAGTGGTAGTGGGCCATCCCCACAGGGGATAAGTGTCCTTTGGCAAAACCAACATAATTACAGAAGTAATAACAAATACAATAATACAGCACATAATAAAGATTAAATTAAGAGAAGGCACGGAGACTTCTGAAAGGAGTGGCGAACGTGGAGAGGGCGCGTCTCACGGAGAGGCATCAGGCTCAGGTGCCTTCTCCAGAGACCTGGCCCTGCGCCTGGGACGGCTCAGCTCAGCTCAAGGTCGTTCATGTAGTCCTGGACCCAGGACTCACTGGGGTTGGCGCAGATGTGTTTGTTCCTTCTGGTTTCGAATCTGTGGAAAGAGGAGCGGATAGATGAGAATCGCATGGGAGCTTGTCTGTGGTAGATCCTCCCTCTGCTTGACCACACTTCGTGCTGGACAGCTGCGGTAGGTGGTGGGACCCTTCCTGGGGTCGTACTGGAAATGGGGTCCTTGTAAGTTCCACCCTGGAGTTAGCTGTGGTCTCCAGGTTGCCCAGATTAGGAACCAATGAGTTTATGAGTAATTTTGCTCTGTCTCTCCATTCATTCCCAAGTGCCCCTAGCAATATCTTTTCCACGTGGTCTTCTAAGCATGGTTTAAGAGATCAGCTCACGTTTCCTGTGATAGCTTGCTCTCTCTCTCTCTCTCTCTCTCTCTCTCTCTCTCTCTCTCTCTCTCTCTCTGACCTTCCCTGGTTTTCTAGACTCTGGCTAATTTCCTCCCCAGGAACCCCCCATCTTCTCCCTTGATTCTCACACAGCCTCACACAAGGACTCAACAGGTAATTTCGTAACCTGTTTCTAACTGCTGTCTGGGAGGGCTTCAGCCCTGAGACCTGTCTCCCTACTGCTAGATCCTCCACCCACCCCAAACAAGCCTCTTAGCTAATCCTGCCCTTCCCCTCGCCCCCCAGGGCTTGATACTTACACCACGGCTGGCTGGGAGCAAAGGCTGCTGGTCTCGTAGTAATCCACCACATAGTTACGAGGAATTTTCCGCTGGGTGTAGGAGAAGCAGCAGGCAGTGGGAGGGTCTGAGCCCACTGGAAAGAAAGGCCCAGGTGAGATCGAAGCTCTACACACAGCTGCTCTTTTGGCTTTTAGTTACGGATATTCAAGTGGCATCTCTGTGAAGCTATCAGATCCCCCAATACGGCCCCTTGTATCCAATCCCATCCACCCTGAGTAGGAGTCTTTTTCTGAATACAGGATCCTACGGGAGCATCATGGAGCTGAACTGGGTCTCAGAGCACACATCTAACTCCCTTCATTTAACAGATGGGGAAACTAAGGCACAGAGAGAGAGATGAAATTGCTTAAACAAGCCTCCTGGTTACTATTTCTTAAGAAGACAGGAACTTGAATGTCCTAAACGTCTACTAGACACAAGGTTTAACCACAGGCTACTTAACAATCTTCCAGGCTCCCTTTGTCCCATCCCCAGATGCCACTGTTGGACCAGCCCTGACTGGAAAGATGGGCGCTGCCTACACCATGGCTCCAGAGGTAGCAGCTGAAAGGACACACTTACCTGGTGCCGAGAGCGCTGGAGAGCAGAAGACAGCCCCTAGCACAAGGAGAGAGAGGACAGTCACGCAGAGCTTCATGGTCTTGATGGAGAAGAGGCTTTTCCGGAGCTGAGACAGAACCCAGAAGCTTCAGAACCCTACTGCGCTCTGTACTCATACTGAGTTGGGATCCCCTCTTTATAGGACCTCTGAGGACTGGGACAGAGGTGGGGGCACAGGAGGGCAAGTGGAATTTCCAGGGTAGATGATGTCATGGTGCCAATAGGGAAACTGAAGCTGGCTGACAGCGAGGCCCTCATAGAAGCTTCTCTTCCCCGGGGCGATGTCATCACAGTGGAAAGAAGGAGGGGGAGGGGAGAAATGGGCTGTACCCAAGAGGGAAGTGGTACACCAAAGGCAGTGACAGAGACGGAGGAGACAATTGCAAACCCGAGAGGAAGGATGAAATGTTCACACCTGCTAGATGGGGCTTGTAGACGAGAACCATGCTTCTCTCGGTGGTTGGCACCTCCAGAAGCTGGAGGCTTCGTGTCAGTGTTTCCAGGGTTGCCACAAGCCTGGCCCCAAGAAGGAAGGGAGAGCCAGGAGTCCAGGTCATGTTGCCGGGCCTCCTTCTGCTGGGCTGAGTGACCTTAGTGCCCTACATGTTCTCTTGGGCATAAAGAGTCCAGCACTGAATGTGCAGAAGGACCCCACAGGACAGTAATCTGCTTATCAAACACTTACCATGTGCCAGGCACTGAGCAAGCTGCCTTAGACAATAAATGTCAAATGCTACCCTGACCCTGAACAGAAGTGTGATTATTGCTCAGAGGCAACAAGGACGAAAGAGCAGAGGGGAGTTCACTGATCATCTCAAGGTCCCGATCTTAAGTGGCAGTGCCTAGATTGGAAATGCGATTTTTCTGACTCTAAAACCCACTTTCTATCTAACCCATTGTCACAAATATAGAATGTGACCACAGAGAGAGAAACTGTTGCCCACTAGGGGCTTGGCCACACACAAGGCACCATCTTACTAGGGCTGATTTCAGGAGGGCAGTTGGGGCCAGTCTGCCCTAGAACAAGGAGGGAACAGAGGAGAAAAGAGAAAGCTTTCAGTGTGTTCGCTTGGACAGTAAGAATCAAGCTTGAAAGACTCAAGATAAGGAATGTTCCTTTGTAACTTATGAAGAGATCCCCTCGAACATCTAGCACCTACCTGACACAATGCATAGTCATCCCAATATTATTGACTGTGTTTCCTGTGCTGTACTTTCCATCCCTGTGATTCTTTTATAATGACCAGTCTGTACTTCTTAATCCCTTCACCTTTCCACCTTTGCAGATTATTTAAATGTCTAACCACTATGCTGTACACCTGAGACCAATAGAAAATGATATTGAATGTCAACTGTAATTGAAAAATAAAGGAAAAAAAAAAAGAATGGCCCTCTAGTGTAACCATGGGATTGGATATACTTAGCAACGAGTTCACTATGTTACAGATAAAACATTTAGTCTAAGCATGTAGGTGTTTCCCAGCCATCCTCAGAGAATCCCTCATGTTCACGGACAGCCCTGCCTGGTTTGGCAGCTGCTTTGGGCCGGGGAGGGTGGGAGGGGAGTGAGGGGGCTTCAGCCCTGAGACCTGACACCTATGTGAAGGGGACTTGGGGAAGCTCACAACGGAACACAGTGGAACAGGCAGGGGGCCAGTGAGGGTGATGAGGATGACTGCGTCAAGCTCTCTACCACCTTCAGCTCAACCGCTCTCACCCGCCCTCTCACCCGGCCCCACACTGCTACCTGCCTCTGCTCTGAGAAAGAAGAGTGAAGGGTGAAAACAGGAAACCAGGCCACCTGGTGCTGCTGTAGAGAGGTGGGTGGGGGGCAAAGCAGCATCATGGAGTACTTCAGGGTCACCTAATGCAGTACAATGTCATCCTACCTCACATCACTGCCGCCACCGCCACCTACATGCACTGCCATGCCCACACACATACGAACAGCACTTCTTTCCTCCACCCCTCTGCCCCCATCCTTTTCTTCATGTGAATCTTGCTTTGCCAGCTCTGATCTTCACCAGGACCCCTATCCCCAGCTCTAATGTTCCCTGGTCCCTGGAATCACATGTGCCAGTATCTCTTATGGTCTCTCCTGGTTGGTGGAATTTCATTGTCATATATCAATGACCTTCCTTTAAGGGAAAGAGTGTGTCCTGTGTTCCCTGGGACTTACACAGACTTGACTTTTCATGCCATTTCCACCCAACCCAATTTAGAAGTCATCTGCTTTTTTGTCAGGGAAGGCAGAGCAGAACAGAGCTCTCAGTCTATCTATGTTGTTGGCAGTGAAAGAAATAACTGTCCCTGAGATGGAATAAAGTAATGTCACATCAGGTAGAAACAAAACATCAGACCATCTCTCAGCTATCGACGGACAGTTCCAAATCAAGTCTAAATCCCACTGTGTGCTACGGAGGAGCCCTTGGCAGGGAGCACTCTGCCTACATGAGTGGGGTGTGCTGATCTTCAAACTATGGAGGGATTTTGAAGATGCCTGCTCTGGGGCATTAGGAGAATGATACCAGATAATAAGAATGGGTGATGAGTCTTCATGGAGCCACACCATGGGTCTGACTGTTGGCTGTTGCTTCATAGCCTTGGTTTGTTCTTTGGCTCATGGAGGAAACATGATTTGTTCATGAAGGTCCCAACAATAATGCTGTGTCACATGAGTGAAATTCCACACCAAGTGTACAAAGGGCTTGTGCCAGTATGTTTAGCTAAATCAGTGGCCTCCGAGATTTATACATTGAGGACATGTCTAAGTAATAAGTGATAGAGAATGATCATAAATGCCTCCTAAATGCACAACAGCAAAAAAGTCCTCATCTTCTCTAGAGAACCTTCCCTGACCTCTCCTCCTACTGAATTCTACATCTCTTTCTGGGCTCCTACAGCTCCTGAGCCACCTCCACCCATCACCTGTAATATATCTGCTTGCCTCCCACGTTGGAAAGTGAGCTCCTTGATGCAGAAAACATGTTGTGCTTATCTCTGTGTACACAGCAGGTGTTCAATAAACACTTGTTTAGTAAGTGTCCAGAGGCAGCCCAAACTACCACTTTTAGGGGAATGGGGTGTGGTAGGTAAGAGGGACTCAGGATGAAAGCTCCATTTAGTTAAGTGAAGTGAGAATAAACCAGGCATCCTGAAATTCTATTCAAAATGTGATTCCCCAGCCCTGATGAGATGAAAATTCCCCTCCTTTCCCTGCTCAAAACCCACATACCCAGTAGTTTCATTTTAAAGGATACTATTCTAGGACTTAAGTCTTTCCAGCTCAGGGGTGTGAGAAGTGACAGCAGGAATTAACCATGGTTCCAGGAAGTTCCAAATGCATTCTGCATGCCACTCACCCTCTCGGTCCAGGGAAACCTTTTACTTCCCCTCACTCGTGGTAATCTAGAGGTTTCGCCTTCTATACCCTTGGCATGCACTGTGCTCATAACTCCATTCTGAGCACTTTCACATCTGTTTTTTCATTTTGTCCACCCAGCCTCCATAATCTGCTGACAGCACTGGCAACCCCAGCAGTAATATGACCTTGCAAAGACCCTGACACTTTTTTTATGTTCCTTTTTATTTTATTTTATTTATTTTTGTATATTTTGTTGATTATGCTATTATAGTTGTCCCAGTTTTTCCCCTTTTGCCCTCCTCCACCTGGTCCCCCACTTTCCTTCTGCAATCCCCACCTTAGTTCATGTCCATGGGTTGTACATGTAAGTTCTTTGGCTTCTTTATTTGCTATACTCTTCTTAATACCCCCTGTTTATTCTGTACCTACCCAATTATGCTTCTAAATCCCTTTACCTTTCCCCCTCATCCTCCCCCTTTCCCCTCCCAGTTGATAACCTTTCAAATGATCTCCATATCTATGACTCTGTTCCTGTTCTAGCTGTTTGCTTAGTTTTTGTTTTTTAGATTCAGTTGTTGATAGTTGTGAGTTTGTCACCATTTTAATGTTCATAGTTTTGATCTTCTTTTCCTAAATAAGTCTCTTTAACATTTCATTTAAGGACTTGGTGACGATTAACTCCTTAGCTTTACCTTGTCTGGGAAGCACTTTATCTGTCCTTCAACTCTAATTGATAGCTTTGCCAGATAGAGTAAGCTTGGTTGTAGGTCCTTGTTTTTCATCACTGAATGTTTCTTACCAATCCCTTCTAGCCTGCAACGTTTCTTTTGAGAAATCAGCTGACAGGCTTATGGTAACTCCCCTGTAGGTAACTAATTTCTTTAATATTGCTGCTTTTAAGATTATCTCTTATCCCTAACCTTTGGCATTTTAATTATAATGTGTCTTGGTGTGGACCTCATTGGATCCAACTTGTTTGAGAATTTCTGTGCTTCCTGGACTTGTATGTCTATTTCCTTTGCCAAATTAGAGAAGTTTTCTTTCATTATTTTTTCAAATAAGTTTCTAATTTCTTGCTCTTCCTCTTCTCCTTCTGGCATCCTTATGATTCAGATGTTGGCATGTTTGGAGATGTCCCAGAGTCTTCTTAAACTCTCCTTGTTTTCTTGAATTCTTGCTTCTTTATTTTGTTCCGGTTGAATGTTTATTTCTCCTTATGTTCCAAATCATTAATTTGAATCCCAGCTTCCTTTCCTTCACTGTTGGTTTCCTATGGATTTTTCTTTATTCTCCTTAGTAGAACCTTCATTTCTTCCCTTATGCTTTTGTCATATTCAATGAAATCTTTGAGCATTCTGACCACCAGTGTTTTGAACTCTGCATATGATAGCTTGTCTATCTCTGTATCACTTAGTTCTTTTACTGGGACTTCCCAAAAATGTGATGTTTGATTTTTGTAAAAATTTTATTAGCTTTCTTTGTTTTCCATAAAATATACCTGCTCACCATACAAAACTTAGAAAATATAGGAAATCATAAATAAGAGAAATGAAAATTACCCAGCATTTTGTAGTTTTACATTTTATTATTATTACTAATAGTTTTTCTAGAATTAGAATATCTTATTATTGTTACTTTATATTCTTCCCTGTCATTAAAAACTCAAGAGTTAGTTAAAATTAGCATGCATGATATTTCACTGCATGTATATAGCAAAATTTTATACCAAAATTTATATTTAACCATTGTTACTTAGGTTGTCCATTCAGATTGTTCTAGATTTTCTCTATTATAAATTGAGCTGAGACTTGAGGGATAATTAGCCAGGAAAAGAATGTAGGGGTGCGGTTATTCAGGCAAAGAAAAGAGTCATGTACTTTTGAACATGTATAAAATAGATTAATTGAA